GAAAAGTAAAACGACTTCACTTTAGCATTACTGGCCGCAAGTACTAAGGAGAGATCATGCATCAGCTGCTCAAAAAATGTGTCAGTGAGACGAACGGAGCGCGAGTGCAATCTTGTGACAGTCACAGTCGTTAAATAGTGGAGCGCGTGAAGGAGAGATGCGAGGGCACGAACACTGTTGAAGGTCTCCATTAATTCGTGCTTGTAGTAATTTAATTTGTATAATGTATATATTTTGAAAGCATTGAATCGCTATAGAAATCGCGATTCATTCGATTCTTCGCGTTTTAAATCGATTACTGTCCGAAATCGACGATTCAAAAATCCATGTTTCAAGATCGATGCGTTGCATCGTCAGTGTTTGTTATTAATGCACCGAGGGTTTCCTTCGTACATTCGGTTTAACAACATTGTTAAAACACATTTATCATTCAATGGAACTGTGCGTATGCTCTAGACACTTACATTTTTGCCCCGTCCATGCAATAAATGCGCAGCCTTCGACTGCTCAGTTAATGTCGTCGGCATGACCGAGAGCCATTAAAAAACTACAGAAAAGTAAAACGACTTCACTTTAGCATTACTGGCCGCAAGTACTAAGGAGAGATCATGCATCAGCTGCTCAAAAAATGTGTCAGTGAGACGAACGGAGCGCGAGTGCAATCTTGTGACAGTCACAGTCGTTAAATAGTGGAGCGCGTGAAGAAGAGATGCGAGGGCACGAACACTGTTGAAGGTCTCCATTAATTCGTGCTTGTAGTAATTTAATTTGTATAATGTATATATTTTGAAAGCATTGAATCGCTATAGAAATCGCGATTCATTCTATTCTTAGCGTTTTAAATCGATTACTGTCCAAAATTGATGATTCACGATTCAAAATCCATGTTTCAAGATCGATGCATATGCATCGTCAGGGTTTGTTATCGATGCATCGAGAAAACGAGTGAATTGTTACACCCCTACTAATTATCATTATCGATAAAATCCCAGAAAATATTGAGATATATTTTTGTCAATATCGCACACCCCTAATATATTTAATGTTTCGTTTAGAGAAAATTTTAAATAAATATGAGAAGTGCCCTTTTTTCCACTTGAGCCCCTGCCCCTCAAAATGTCTGTGCATGTCCCTGTATTTATGTAATAATATTCAATTATTATTCGCTTTTGTGTAAATTTGTCACATCAGACTTTTCAGCATTTTTAGCATTTCAGCAAGAATTTTCAAGATTTTAAAAGATTTTAAAGGTTAGCGCAATATTTCTTGCTTAGGTATCAATAAATTTAACAATAACTTCAGGTATGCAGGGTTTTTTAGAAAAATGCATTGCATTACATAACTGTGTCATTTAGTAATTAAATAAATATTCTTGGTCTATTTCGCCTTGATAAACACACTTGGTACTTGAGCACTCCTAAACGTATCGACCATGGCCATTGTCTGACAGAAGACAAAGGAGAGAGTTATTTTTATTTATATTGGTGGTACAGAACCAGCTATGCATAGATCACAACTGTACTATTGACCCCATATTTTGACATATTTATAACTATATTCAAGGTGCCTTTAACAGCACAATATGGATTGGAGGTAATGTTGGCTGTTTGCCCAAGAACAACTGTAGAATGAGATTTTTTTTTCCCTCTTTGACTCTATATGTTCTTGCCTTATTATTCCAGTTTGTATGAAATGCACTGCTAGCTCATCTACATTTAACACTGGAAGATGCATATAAATGCAGAATTGATTTACAAATGACTGACACAAATATTTCCCTGTGGGAATTTATCATAGCCCACAGTCCGTCGCTCCACATTACAATGCAAATGTCAAGGCCAAGCTGCTTTAGTATTTATTGAAACACACACCATAATTTTTCCCTTTTATCATTTAAGTCGATTTTTCTGAATTGGTTTTTTGTTGGTTTATAAGTGTTTGCATATTCTGCAACACACCAAAAGACCACCTCAACAATGACTTTGGTGGTGAGTATAATTTTAAACCTACCCACAGGCATTACGTCAAACTTCATTTGCATAAATTTTATAAAATGTGTACGAGCTGTGCAAAAAAAGAAAATAATAATAATTCAATGTGCCTTTAACAGCACAATATGGATTGGATGTCATGTTGGCTGTTTGCCCATGAACAACTGTAGAATGAGATTTTTTTTTCCCTCTTTGACTCTATATGTTCTTGCATTATTATTCCAGTTTGTATGAAATGCACTGCTAGCTCATCTACATTTAACACTGGAAGATGCATATAAATGCAGAATTGATTTACAAATGACTGACACAAATATTTCCCTGTGGGAATTTATCATAGCCCACAGTCCGTCGCTCCACATTACAATGCAAATGTCAAGGCCAAGCTGCTTTAGTATTTATTGAAACACACACCATAATTTTTCCCTTTTATCATTTAAGTCGATTTTTCTGAATTGGTTTTTTGTTGGTTTATAAGTGTTTGCATATTCTGCAACACACCAAAAGACCACCTCAACAATGACTTTGGTGGTGAGTATAATTTTAAACCTACCCACAGGCATTACGTCAAACTTCATTTGCATCAATTTTATAAAATGTGTACGAGCTGTGCAAAAAAAGAAAATAATAATAATAATTCTCGTTACATATCTAAGTGAGATACAGCCACATTCAGTGTAAACAAAGGAGAGAAATACACTCTCTCACACTTGCCAAAACACACCTTTGTCCGTTTTGTCTCCTGAGTTCCTTTTATGTAATGGAATTTTTATGAGGCTGTCGATCACATACTCAGTGACATTAATAGTTGTGCGTAAGTGTGTGTGCGTGCTTTTTACTGACATTAGCATTGATATTACTGTAGTTCAGGTTTTATGTCTCATGACTTTTTCCTAGCCATCAGAGTGTAGAAATGTTTTAGGACAAGCTTGCATTTGAAACACCACATGAATGCACAAAACATGTATTTTTTGACTCCCTCTTTTGTTTCTCTCACACCTTTGTTCATACTTCAAACCATATCATGCATTTTCTTTTGTTTCATAGGTTAATTCATTTAGTTTATTATGGTGTTAATGTTCAATGAGAGCTTATTTACCTCACTTCTTTTACTATTTATTCACTCTGTGCCATTCCAAACTTGTATGACTTACTGGTAACACTTTAGTACAGGGACCAACTCTCACTATTAACTAGTTGCTTATTAGCATGCATATTACTAGCATATTTGTACTTATTAGTTTATTAGTACTTATAAAGCACATATTCTGCATGACCATATTAATTAAGAGTTCATTAATACAGAGAATTGGATGTTAAAATAAAGTGTGACCGATGGCCACACTTAATTTTAAGGTCCAATTCTCGCTATTAACAAACCATTAACTACGATGTTTGCCTCAATAAACTCCTAATTACTAATTACTAATAGTTAGTAAGGTAGTTGTTACATTTAGGTATCGGGTAGGATTAGGGATGTAGAATATGGTCATGCAGAATATGTGCTTTATAAGTACTAATAAACAGCCAGTCGGCCAGGCATGCTAATATGCAACTAGTTAATAGTAAGAATTGGTCCCTATACTAAAGTTTTACCTGACCGACTTACTTTCTTGCTTCAAACACAAAAAGACATAATTAGAAAAATTTCCAAACTGCTCTTTTGTAAACAATGGAAGTGAATGATGGTCCCTGGTCCTCATCCACCTTTATTCTATGGACAAAAAGCAGCTTGAACATTCTCCTAAATATCTCCTTTACTGTTTCATGAAAGAATAGGTCATGCCGATAACAGTCTTACAGTGATATTAATACTTACGTTTACCAAGATCATTTTCTCTACAATTGATAATTGAGATGAAATTCAATGATATCCGTTACCACAGATGACAGTGAATATTAAGATAATATCTGACTGCTGAATTCCATGATTGTCCAATTAGAATGCAGTATTGCAGAGAGCCGTGTTCCAAAGGTAGTTCATTGCTAAACATTAGCTATATAGGCGATATCAAGATTTCCATTAGTCTTTCTGAGTGCATGTGCTCTTGCGTATTTTTGCCTGTGAATGCATGTCGTGTATGTACGTTCTCAACATTTAATATATGCAAATTTATGCGTTTGTGCGCATCGACATGGCTTCCGTCCCGGACATGTCAATGCGTCTCTCGTAATTGTTTCAATGTAACTCTTCTTGTTGCCAACAATTTTTGCACCTTTACAATGTTGCAATCCCAGGTAAAAGTGATTCTCCACATCGGAGCATCGCTTTCTACATATTTATGTACACACTATATGAACGTTCACATGGCTCTGTGCCATGACTGTACGTACATATGAATGGATGCTTGTTTGTATAAATTATTTCTATATAATTTATCATGATTGCACAGACTAGTCCATGTGTCTTTATCTGTACATAGTTCTATTTGCAACTCTATTTCCAAAGGCAAAATTACAATTTGCAATTGGTAAATTCAAAAAGATCGCACTCAAATTTAATTGGACACCTACTAGCAGAAGGGACCAGAGATGAGCTCTGAGTCTTTTTGGAAATGCAGCTGGGACCTTGTTTTTCTGAAAACCTTGTCATGACGGAATCCATTTACAAAACTAAATGAGAGAGCCAAAGCTTCAGAAGCACACGCAAGAGCCACTGCCTCACTAAAACACGATAAAAGGAATCATGGGACAGCCTTGAAGTGAGTCTATTTTAAACTAGTGTGTGCCCGATTAATGAACGACACCGCCAGATAACCATGGCTTCTCTCTCATACCCTCATTAATGAACAAACTCACCATAAAGCTATTTTTAGCTCCCATCAATGGGCTGTAAAAATCCTCAATGTGAATTGGCAACAAAATACATGCAACAATTTGGTGTACAAACATTGTGAAAAGTGCCCTCGATTTAGTCCAAAAGGTTCAGCTGTCATTTTCTACTGTATAAGTATGTCTAGAAATTAAAGGCCGATTCCTAACACAAGTCTTTTCGTGTTTGGTTGACAGCTGAGGACACATGTGGTGATACTCTGAGGGGTTCAAGTGGCATCATTACGAGTCCCAATTTCCCGAGTGAATATTACAATAGTGCGGACTGTACGTGGACCATACTTGCTGATCCCGGAGACACCATCTCCATCATTTTTACAGACTTCCAGACGGAGGAAAAGTACGATTACTTGGAGGTGGAGGGGTCCGAGCCACCAACAATATGGTGAGTCCAAATGCCTTGCCCACCGGTGTTTATTCCCATGCTCATCTGTCTTGTGGTGTTTTGGTGCAAACAGTAGCAGCTTCTTGTTGAATCTTTGCCTAATCCCATTGACATCTTAAATGAGCCATTGCCCCCATCCGTGATCTCACCTTTGTAACTGTGTGTTATCCTACCAGTCTGTGATTTAAATGTAATCTTGCATGTTTTAACAGCAAGCGTTTCCTCATTTAGTGTTGTTGCCGTGCCTGTGCATCATGTGTTGTTTCCAGCTAAACCTTAAGGATGTAATTGTTAGTCATAATGGAAGCGTCTAATGTTTTCTAATGTTTATATCATCATAATATTTCACCTCTGCTGCTTATTGATTGGGCTCAAATTGGGCTATTGATTCACTCCTTCCAACCATGTCTACCCTGGTGATGATGGGTAAAAGATGGGTAATCTTAAAAGTTTTTTTTTTCTTCTTCGTACGCTGTGCTACATTTGTTAAAAGGGAAAAATCCATTGCGTGCTTGTGCTGCATGCAGCTCTTAAAGGAAATGAACATGAGTATCGATCGCCTGAAATGCCCTTCCTCTTCACTTTAACATTATAAATTGAACTCAAGCCAAGTTTTTAATTACATCTCATTTTGAAAGTATGGCTTTTATATCAGTCAGTGTCATATAGGGCTGCATTGAGTGCTCAAATGTTGCTGTTTTAGGAGTGCCAACTGCCCCGTGTGATACTGAATCATCACATACTTAAGGGAACAGAATATAGTCCCATATTAAATCCACATGAAGCTCAGTTTATTCCATATTATAACATCTTCCACCCAAACAGCTACATAGCTAACTTTAAATTAAACAGTCTGTAAACTCTCTGTCAGTTTCTTTTGTAAGCCTCAGAGTAAAAATATAAAAGGTAATTGTGAGTCAAATGTAAAAAATCAGTGTTACTTTATTGTTATTTATAGTTTAGTGTAGTATTTAATAATATATGGAATTATCTTTTATTTTTATGTTTTCAGTTTTCATTTTAATTTTAGATTTAAGTTTTAGGAATTTTGTCTTGTGATTTTTATTGTTTGTTATATATAGTATATATATATATATATATATATATATATATATATACGTGTGTGTGTGTGTGTGTGTATTGATATAGCATTCATAAATTATTGTAGTTTTAGTGATTTTTAGTACTTCAATTTATTTCAGTTCATTGCCAAAGTAACATTTTATTTCTAACTTTTTAATTACATTTTTTTTTTCAGCCTTATTTCATTTACCAAATTTTTTATAGTTTTAGTTGACAATAACACATTGTCAGACATAAAATCTTACTCTGAGATATCAAGGCACATTTGTGGGATTTAAAGTGGCAATTTAAAAAATTAAATTAAATACATTCTATTGAGATACAAATTTTTACTCTGAGCTGGAAATGTCCTTCCATGTTTTTTTATGCGTATCATTGGTGTGCATTCTTCACTGGGTTTGTTCATTAAAATGTCTAAAATACAAAGCACTTTTAAGTTTAGGTCTTTTCATCTTAAAATATAAATGTACAATAATTTTTCCCTGGAGTTATAATTTATCTTGTTAAAAGCTAATGTAATTGATGTGTGTGTAATAGCATGTGACACTTTATCACACTAAAATTATTTATTTAAAAAAAATAAAATAAAAAAGTTGCATGTCAGTAAACCAAAGTCAAGCATCTCAAATACATTTAGCACTTAACTCAGTCATGCAGTGACTATTTTTGCTGCAGGCCCTGTGACTTTGTAGCATTTTGTTTTAGCGTACCCTGTACTCATTTTGTTATCTGCCATCAAGAGTTTACCTAAAACTCAAATCTGGTGTAAAGAAATCCACATCATCCTAAAAAGACAGCAAGAGTATCCCTAACTCTCCTCTGTGGAAGTTGGCAACCCTAGCAGTTCCATTAAATGCTCGTAAGATTTCCTATGATGTGAAGCAAGTGGTCGAGGGGGTACGTAATGGTTTCAGGCATGCAGCGGTGACATGTTAACACATTGTTTACAGTGATTTATTCAAGACAGTCTCTTTGCGGCAAGCGAGGGGATGTCAAAGAGGATTTTTAAAGCGAGCCAGAGAGCCTGATTTGAATATGCATGTTATGTAAATGAGCCGGTCCTTCTCCAATGCTGATTGTTGCATAAACAAAGCACAGCGGACATCTGAGGGAGCTGCTGATACATGTAGATGTGAATGCAACAAGCTTCACTGCTCCGTGATTGCACTGCTCATTCATCCGAGACTAGATCAACAGATAAACCTGCCTCATCACTTAATCATATCTGGCATTAGTTTTACTGCGCATTAATCTGTCTTGTGTATAATTAATTTGTTTTGCAAACTTGTGCGTGCCTGACCTTTTTTTGTGAATTCGGATTAGGTGACGCCACCCCTCACCTCATCACAGATCTAGCCTGTCGTTTACAGAGTGTCCTGACATCTCTCTCACGTGCTTCTGGGTCACCGCCTTTCAATGATTACCTCTTATTGGATTAGTCAAAGCCAGGAGACATTGGAAACTCCTGAATAAAGCACCACAGTTCGGTGTGCTCCAGTGACGCATAATTTATATCTTTAATAAAGGATGAGCTTCATTCTCTGTGCTGCAGTCTTAGTGCTCTCTGATTGAGCAGCTTGTTTACTGAAATGTTTTCTGCTCAAAGTATCTCTGCATTTTGGGCAGGTCACCCTGCCAGCGCCCATGATGCCCCGGAGCTCAGAGTTCAAGCAGGTTAAGGGTAGCTGTGCTGGAAATTGAAATGATAATGTAGATATATTAATATGATAATTTATTGGCGATTTTGCACCTGTTTTCTGTTGTAAAGGCAATTTAGAAAAACAAAGAGTGGTAGTTCAAAGCACGTACTGTATCTTATATGAGGTTACAACTAAAATGCTTCATTTTTTATTCTTGCTAGTACAAACGTTTAATTAGTAAATTACACCAACAGTTATTGTCGCATTTCATGGAATTATTTGCAGCTAATTGTCAATTAATGATGTTGTAAATGGTGTATGATAATTAGAAAGGGAGGCATTTGCTATTTTTGCATGAATATGAAGGGTTTAATTCTTAATTTAATCTTTGCAAGTAACAGCAAAGAAAAAAATGATGTCAAATGTGATATTATTATTATAGCTGCAGTCCGTAACTTTTTTTCGTTAAAAATGATCCGAAATCAATATTTGAGCAAGTACATAACCAGACAGTGTTCAAAACTATCGCCTTATTTTAGCCCGATTCACAACGGTTATCTTATAATAATGTTTTCTAATTTGAGTGGTACACTCTAAAAATGCTGGGTTAAATATAACCCAGCGCTGGGTTAAAAAGGGACAAACCCAGCTATTGGGTTGTTTTGACCCAGCGGTTGGGTTAAAAACAACGCGCTGGATTATATTTAACCCAGCATTTTTTAGAGTGTATGGGTAGGTTTTCGCGGGAAATTCGAGAATGGCACTGCGTCATTACATCATGTCTGTAAACATAAAGAAGTTGTCCCGGCTACTAGGCTATCGCAGGTGAGGATCCTGTAGGTAGCGGATCGTTTATAGCCTTTTCTCACAACAGCTAGAATAATTAAATATATCATTTTGATGGCGGATTGTAATCCAGAAAGGATTGTGTTTATGAAACACATGTGAATGAAATTAAATTATATTCCAGTTATAAATGTGCTTCTGATTACAGATAGCCTGGGGTTACAAAGATTTGTATTTTTAAGAAATCCAGTTCGAAGGAAGCATAATTTGCTTCTTGGGTTAAAAGAATTTCTTAATATGAAATTCGAAGACCCTCAAAACATTAGATTCATCCGTGCTGGAGCCGTCCCAACTCACAACCCACGCAAGCTAGATAATTCCGCACACTGCTGCAATTCCAGGTTTTCAAACAGAGATGGCGACAAAGAGGCAAAACTCACAGACTGCAGCTTTAACAAAATTTGAGTGAAAATTGAATTTGAATAATTGACATATTTCTGACATATTAACATATAGTTCTTGCTCATTTTATGTAATAAGTATTTTTTAGATCTTTAAACATTTGATTTATTTCCCAATTTTAAAATGAGATTTTTAATTTAATTTAATTTAATTTAATGTTTTTATTTTATTTTATTCAATCGTGGAAACAATTATTAATATTATTAATTTTATTATTGTTAATATAACAATTTGAGTAACAAGTTGAATTGGAAAATTATTATTGTGGAAATAATAATAATAATAATAATAATAATTATTATTATTATTATTATTATTATAACAATTTCAGTGAAAAGGTAACAAATTTCTTAGCTTTCGGGATTGTGTATAGTTCTCATTTATTTTAGGTCATTTATTTGTTTTATTTACTTTTAAATAATAAAACTTTTTGTTTATTTCCTGATTTAAATTAGATTTTGAACTCTAAAGTTGGACTTTTGGACCCCACTGCTTTATATCTGATGGCTTACAATTGCTCATCCCTTTGAAGTGTTGAACCATTGCAGGCATTAAGGTGTGTGCTGCTCACTTTACCAGTCTACTTCTCCCTTCTCAATTAATTTCCCTCTGATTTAAGTTCCCCTGAGCTTCCACTGATAGCTGCATCGTCATTCCTCCTCTGGATCCGTCACCCGGCTCTTTAAGAGGGCCACAGTCTGCTACGCAGCCACGCGGCTTATGATGCTGCTCTGACAGCTGCAATGTGGCTGGAGTACAGATATCTCCAGCAGCTCTTGGTCTGTGAGCTTGTTTGACCTGTCAGCATCTCAGAAAGTCATCACTTCACCCTGAACCCGCTGTGTGAGTCAGAATGCAATGAGGGTGATTAGATCCAGTGTTGTTGTGAGAGCAGATGTGATTGAAACCAGAATGTGACAGCTCGGCTGCCATAAACGTGTTGTAGCATTGTATCCTTTCCGTTAAAGTTGTATTTGCTGTATCTGCCAAAGTACAATTTTAGAAGTGCTACATCTCAGGGCTTAAAGT